ACCTTATTTGTTCCGCAATTGGTTCCTAGCTTAGTATCAGTGGGGCAATTGACTGAAGCAGGTTGTGAAGTTAAGTTTACTAAGGTTGGGTGTGTTGTGCAGGACCCGACGACAGGGAGGGTGATCGGGAGGGGTAAGAAGGATGGTCGCGTATTCGTTCTTGATGACTGTCATTTGGAGATGCCGTTACCTGGTGGGCCGCCGCCATCAAGAACTGCCGTGACTAGCTCTTCTTTGCTTCCTAGTTTAGTCAAAAAATTTCCTCCTTTTGAGACTGTGGTTGATGATTTGGTTTCTGCTGTAAAGCCTCATGGCTCTTTGAAATTTTCGAAACAGACTACTATGTGGGATTTATGGCATTGTCGCCTTGGTCACCCTCATAAGACAAGGTTATTGGATATGTTTCGCAATAATTTGCTTCCTGGCAAGATGGATTCTCACTTGGTTTCTTCTCATTCCTGCATTAGTTGTATTGAAGCTAAAACTTCACAGTCATCTTTCTCTTCTAGTGAGACTGTTTATGAGGAACCTTTTGAGCTTATCCATACCGATCTATAGGGTCCTTCTCCTGTCCCGTCTCGCATGGGATATCGCTACTTTGCTCTCTTCATTGATCACACCACTCGGTTTGCCTGGATTTATTTTCTTCGCATGAAATCTGAGTTGATCACTCATGCTCAGCACTTTGTTCAGATGGTGTTGACACAGTTTGGTAAAAAGGTGAAGGTTATTCGGTCTGATCCTGGTGGGGAATTTAGTTCTCACCCATTGTTGGAGTTTTATGCTTCTCACGGGATTTTGCCTCAACAGTCTTGCCCGGGGGTTTCTCAACAGAATGGTTTGGTCGAACGTAAACATCGCCATGTCTTAGAGCTGACACGGGCACTACTTTTTCATTCTCGTGCTCCGCGTGGGTTTTGGGTTGAAGCGGTTAGTACAGTTTTGTTCCTAATTAATAGACAGATTACTCCTGTTCTTGCGAAACAGTCACCATTTCAGCGTCTCTATTCCAGAATTCCTGACTATTCACGGCTTCGGGTGTTTGGTTGCCTCTGTTTTGTGTTACTCCCGAAGAAAGCTCGTGACAAGTTATCTCCCAAGACGGCTCGTTGTGTGTTTGTTGGCTATAGCACTCAACACAAGGGGTATTTGTGCTACGACCCCATTGCTCGTCGCATGCATATTTCCTGTCATGTAGTATTTCTCGAACAGATTATGTATTACCCTTCATCCGATCATCGAGATCACAAGGACATGGAATTTTTGCAGCCATTACCATCGTTTGTTGAGCCTCCTACTGTTCGGGATGCTGCATTTCAGGGAGGGAATGGTAATGAAACCCTTCAGTCCCTCTCTTTTTCTAGTGCAGGCGGTCCATCTATAATGGGTTCGAATTGGAGGGGTTCAGTGGGCATACAAATTCAGAGGAATTGGATGGATCCTCTTCCCATGCATTTGCCTCGCCTGTGCACTCTTCTCTGCCGCACTTAGCGTCACAACATGAGACGAACCATGGTACTTGGTCGGGTGAGTCATCATCGTCATCCACTAGTCCTTCTTCGGCAGGTGGATCGTCTAGGGATTTGAATATTGATTTGGGCACACCACCTCCTCTACCTGAGCTACGTAGATCGACGCGAGCAACAATGGGACAACCACCAAAAAGATTAGGAGATTATGTGAGTTTTTCAGCAGAACCGATACCTATTCCAAGTCATTACCGATTTGCGAAGGGTCATATAAACTGGGAATCTGCAATGAAAGAAGAGCTGCGTGCCCTTGAAGAAAATGACACGTGGGAATTGGTTCCACGAGTTCCTGGAAGTTCAGTCATTGGTTGCCGATGGGTTTACACTGTGAAGATGAAGCCTGATGGGTCTTTGGAACGGTATAAAGCTAGACTTGTTGCTCAGGGGTTTCGACAAGAGTATGGAATAGACTATGATGAGACGTTTGCACCTGTTGCAAAAATGCAAACGGTACGAAGTGTGCTTGCTGCTGCAGCTATGAAAAAATGGCAGATTGTTCAGTTTGATGTGAAAAATGCTTTTCTACATGGGGATTTGAAAGAAACAATTTACATGGAGTGTCCAGAAGGCTATGAGAAGGGAGCCCCAGGTATGGTCTGTAAATTAAAAAGGTCTCTATATGGTTTAAAACAATCACCAAGGGCGTGGTTTGAGAAGTTCCATAGTACGATACTGCAATTTGGGTTTGTACAAAGTCAAAATGATCCGTCGATGTTTACACGCCAAACAGTGCATGGTAACACAGTGTTGCTTTTGTATGTCGATAATATGATTGTTACTGGCAGTGATAGGCATGGTATTCAAGAACTAACTCAGTCTCTGCGAGAAGCCTTCAATCTAAAGGAACTAGGTGAGGCTTCTTACTTCCTCGGATTGGAGATCAACAGAACTGAGGCAGGAATCTTGCTATGTCAGCGGAAATATATTAATGACCTTCTTGAGGCAGCACAGTATACAGATTGTAGGCCGTGTTCAACACCGATGGAACAGAATTTGAAGCTTAGCCGGGATAGTGGGGATGTGCTAGAAGATCAGACCTTTTACAGGAGCATAGTAGGCAGTCTGATCTATCTTACCCATACTAGACCAGACATTGCTTATGCGGTACAGGTAGTAAGTCAATTTACTGGAGCAACTCGTACTCCTCATCTGGATGCGGTGCATCGTTTGTTGAGATATTTGAAAAAACGAGAGATGTTGGCATCTTCTTTCCATCAGAAGGTGAACCTGAGATTGAGGCGTTTGCTGATGCCGATTATGCAGGTTGTTTGGATACCAGGCGGTCAAGGTCAGGTTGGTTTGTGAAGTTTGGACGATCTTTTGTTTCATGGCGGTGTAGGAAACAGGATAAGGTCTCAAAGTCTTCTACAGAAGCAGAGTACAGGTCAATGTCCGAAGTTAGTTCAGAAATGGTCTGGCTTCAGAGATTATTTCAGGAAATAGGAGTTGAATGCAGACTTTCTATGCGCATATATGGTGATAACACCAGTGCCATTCAGATTGCAGTAAATCCAGTACTACATGACAGAACAAAACATATAGAAGTGCATGTTCATTATATCAGACAGCTGGTCGCAGAGGGAGTTGTGCAATTGAGTTATTTGTCGACTGATGATCAGACTGCAGATGTGTTAACGAAGGCGGTGGGATCAAGCAGGCATAGGTATCTATCATCCAAATTGATGTTGCGCACCCAACATCAATTTGAGGGAGGGTGTTAGTTTAATATATTTTGGGTACCTTTATGTAAATAGCCTGCGATATGTAGTTAGGGTTTGTAGAGCAAACCTATAAATATGTTGCTGTGTACTATGATGAACGTAAGAAAACACAATCCATAAAAACCTGAGAGGGAGATCCTCTCCGTGGACTAGTGTCGTATTGACAAAACCACGTTAAAAAACTTTGGTGTTCTTTCTCTTGCTTTCGATTCTTTGACAGTAACGTAATTTAGAACTCTGGTTTGGTTCCTTGTTATTCGTCGAACACCCTCATTCGAACGTAGTTTGGAGAGGTGGTGAACCGAGTAACAATCATTCTTGGTTAGAATTCAAAAGTGCATCGATCAAATCAACATCGCTGACGCCCGGCGATGGATATTTGACGATCATTTTGATTCTGTTTGATCTTGGGTTTTGTGTTTTCTTGAAAACAAAGTTGCATTGAATACGCAAGTTTCGCGATCGAAACACATTGTAACGAACAATCTGATGTACTTGTGTTGCTCTTATGTTAGAGGCTCAATAAAGCTTTCTTTTCATCAAGAGACGTACAAAATCATTTTGAACCCTGGAGTAGGTTTATTCTGGATTCCCCCAACGTAGCATGGTTACTCTCAAATAGGGAATTAGGGATGGCAATCAAACCCATGCCCACGGGTATCCGACCGCCCCCAACCAAGTCAACGCGGGGAATCCCCGCATTGACTGGGTATGGGTAAAACCGCAAAAAAGTTTGATGGGTATGGGGCATGTATGGTTTTAGTCTCCCCCGCCCCATACCCATACCCACCCCGCCAAAAATATTTCTTCATATATGAAAACTATGTGAATTAATTTGTAACCTATCAATAATAGTGAGTATAACTCAAGAAAAATATATAGTAGAAATGCAATTGATTGGCCACCCAAATCAAAATCTAATTTCTTTCTCAATTTTCCTTTCACTCTTTCACTTTTTCCCCTTGTTAAGAAGATTATGTTAGTTAATTATTACTCAATAGATGTGTCAGAGTAGAGAATAATGATTTGGATGACATTGTACTCCACTCTGATATGGATTAATGGATACTTTAGGATAATATGGTTTGAATCGTATTAAAAATGATTGTCTCTTTGTCGACTTCATGATATAGTAGGTGTGTTTAATGTTATAATTGAAAATCTACATGTAAAATATTCGGTATTATAATGCTGAATGTACAGGGAGGGTATTACACGTGGGTACCCGAAACCCATGGGTATGGGGATGGGTTTGCAAAACCTTCCCCTCATGGGTATGGGGCGGATATGGGTATAGATATTTGAAAGCGGGGATGGGGATGGTTTAGGAAAACGCGCCCCAAACCCGCCCCATTGCCATCCCTACTCTCAAAACTTTTGGGGTCGTTTTGATGAGGAATAGTAACAGATAAATTTGACACAATTGTCTCGTTTTGAGACAATTGTACCAAATTTCCTTGTTTGCCAGCAAAAAAATTGGATGGATCAATTGTAAACATAGATCATAATAGCATGGATCTTAGAATTAGATGATTTCACGAAGCGGTAATAGATCAAGGAAACCTACCTTGATCCATGACGAGAGCGGCGACGACAACTTGAGTAGTAATCACCGGAATTGAGTTTCTCCCTCTTGACCCCTTTAGGTTTTAGGTTTGGAGATTTCTCTGACGGCTAAGAAAGTCTACGTAATGGGTTGAGAGAGGACCAATCCTATGGTTTCTTTATATAGACCCACCATCATGGTATATTAGGAAATTACCTTTCATTACCTAACCAATATATGACTTACCTTATCTATCAAACCATTAAGTGATAATTACACTTGGGCCACAATTATTCCCTAGTGATCTATACGGGAATTGGGCTTACATTCTCCCACTTGGCCCATGTGTCATTATATATCACAAGATCTAATAATAAACATAAGTGTGCACATCATAAGATAAATCCATAATATTTGGTTCACCATAAAGTCATAATCAAGTATGAAAGCTAGATTAGGATCATGGCGGTTCTATATCAATTTATCGACATAGTCCCTTCCATGTACCACAAAACCAGTTTCATGCTCAATATGACACATAACAAGGTATTCATAATGGTCCAACAATAATGTCTTTCCTAAAGACAAAAATCTTGTTATGTCCACATAATTCATAATGTATATATACTGATCATAATATATAAAACAAGATTGATAACTTTATTCCAGAAACAAAATAAATGAGCTCAAAGTATCAATCCATGAAACATAAAATAACTTTAGTCATGACTTCCTATAATCCCCATCCTTTCGACATGTTCAGTAAATGTCTTAGGAGGTAATCCTTTTGTTAATGGATCAACAATCATAAGTTGTGTGCTAATATGCTCGATCGACACCCTTTGTTTCTGAACTTCTTCCTTAACGACAAAGTATTTCACTTCCATATGCTTAGCACCCTTAGAATACTTGTCATTCTTAGAGAAAAATACCGCTGTGGAATTATCAAAGTAAATTTTCAGCGGCTTGGCGATAGTGTCGACAATTCCAAGTCCAGAAATAAAATTCCGCAGCCATAAATCATGATTCGTAGCTTCATAACAAGCTATGAATTCAGCTTTCATAGTGGATGTGGCAATAACAGACTGCTTCGCACTCTTCCATGAAATTGCCCCTCCAGCTAGAAGGAACAAATAGCCAAAAGTAGACTTCCTGGTGTCTACACATCCAGCATAATCTGAATCTGAATATCCAATCACCTCAAGGTGATCAGATCTCCTAAAGGAGAGCATGTGGCCTTTTGTTCCTTGCAAATACCTTAGTACCTTCTTTGCAGCTTTCCAATGATCTACTCCTGGATTACGTTGATACCTGCCCAGCATTCCGACAACAAAACTGATGTCTGGTCTGGTACAAGTTTGTGCATAATTCAAACTTCCAACAATAGATTCATAAGGAATGTGTTCCATTTGCTTGCGTTCCAATTCATTCTTTGGACATTGTTTGAGACTAAATTTATCTCCCTTCTGAATTGGAACAACATTTGCAGAGCATTCAGCCATGTTGTATGTCTGGTCTGGTACAAGTTTGTGCATAATTCAAACTTCCAACAATAGATTCATAAGGAATGTGTTCCATTTGCTTGCGTGCCAATTCATTCTTTGGACATTGTTTGAGACTAAATTTATCTCCCTTCTGAATTGGAACAACATTTGCAGAGCATTCAGCCATGTTGTATCTCTCTAGAATCCGGTTAATGTATGATTTCTGAGACAATCCCAACATTCATTGTGATCTATCACGAAATATTTCTATTCCAATCACATAGGATGCCTCACCCAAATCCTTCATTTCAAATTTCTTAGAGAGAAACTCCTTGGTTTGATGTAATAAACCAAGATCATTAGTAGCAAGCAAGATATCATCAACATACAGAACTAAAATTATAAACTTACTCCCAATAATCTTCAGATATATACATCGATCGACGATGTTTTCCTTAAATACAACAGATGTAATGGTATCATTGAACTTAATATGCCATTGTAGGGAATCTTGTTTAAGTCTGTATATTGACTTCTTTAATTTACACACCATATGTTCTTTTCCCTCAACCACGAAACCTTCAGGTTGATCCATATAGACTGCTTCATCTAAATTCCCATTCAGAAAGGCGGTTTTCACATTCATCTGATGGAGCTCTAGATTATAATGAGCTACCATTGCCATGACAATCCTTAAGGAGTTTTTCTTAGAGACGGGTGAAAATGTCTCTTTATAGTCAACACCACTTTCCTGAATGAAACCTTTGGCAACAAGTCTAGCCCTGTGTTTTTCGATATTGCCATTAGAGTCGTGTTTGGTCTTCCAGACCCATCTATTACCAACTCTTTTACAACCTTCAGGCAAATCAACAAGGTCCCAAACTTCATTTTATACATAGATTTCATCTCTTCTTTCGCATCAGATAACCATTTATCAGAATGCTCACTTTCCATGGCTTGTGAAAATGAATGTGGATCATGATAGAGTCCTAAATCAGATTCTAACTCGTGAAGATAAACCTCATAATCATCAGAAATTGCATGTTTTCGATTTCTTGTAGACCTTCTTAATGAGATTTCTTGTGGTTCATCTATGTTAGGTTCATTCTCAATAGCAATATTAGGTGGTGCTTGACCGTTCATTTGTTGGTCTTGCAAATCGTTATCATGCTCAACATGTGCAGGAGCAACAACTTGAGAAGAGGGTAGAGGCAAAGATATTTTCACTCTAACTTCTTCAATTTCCACATTGCGTGGCTCTAAGCTTCCACTAACTTCACCATTCTCAATGAACCTAGCATTTCCAGTTTCAACAATTCTTGTACTATGGTTAGGGCAATAAAATCGATACCCCTTAGATTTTTCTGGATTACCAATGAAGAAACCACTAATTGTTCGTGAGTCCAGTTTCTTTTCATGTGGATTATATATTCTTACTTCCGTTGGACAACCCCAAACATGCAGGTGCCTTAAACTGGGTTTCCTCCCCGTCCACAGTTCAAAAAGTGTCTTAGGAACTGCTTTACTAGGATCCCTGTTTAACAAATACACAGTGGTCCTTCAAGCGTACATCCACAATGATTTGGGTAAAGATGAGTTGCTTAACATACTCCTAACCATATCCATTAAAGTACGATTCCGCTTTTCTGCAATACCATTTTGTTGCGGTGTTCCTGGCATAGTGTATTGAGCACAAATACCACGTCTTTCTAGGAACTTAGCAAATGGACCAGGGCACTGTCCACTTTCATCATATTTTTCATAATATTCTCCACCTCTATCAGACCTGACAATTTTCACCTTTCTTTCTAATTGCCTCTCAACTTCACTGATAAACACCTCAAGGGTATCCACCGACTGAGATTTTTCATGCAGCAAATAGATATATCCATAACGTGAAAAATCATCGATAAAGGTAATGAAATACTTTTCTCCACCAAGTGATGGAACATCAAAAGGCCCACAAATATCAGTGTGTATAATTTCAAGGAGCTGTGAGCTTCTTGTGGCTGCTTTCTTTAGTGTGTGTTTTGTGTGTTTTCCTTTAATACACTCAACACAAATTCCAAGGTCAGTAAAATCCAAATGAGGAAGGATTTCATTCTTTACTAACCTTTCCATTCTTTCTTTGGATATGTGACCCAAACGTTTATGCCACAAGTAAGCAGAGGATTCATCAAACAAACCACGCTTAATACAAATATTATGATGCAAGGTTAAGAGAGTCTCAGCGAATAGGGTATCAAGCTTTAATTTGTACAAACCATCAACAAGGGTACCATAACCCAATAAAACATTATGTTTGAACAAACTAATAGAACCATTTCCAATGTTCCAAAAATACCCAGCCTATCTAGTTGAGAAACCGAAACCAAATTACGAGAAATAGAAGGAGCATAAAGGGTATTGACGAGGTCCAAATGATGACCAGTATCTAAAATCAAACGATAAGTCCCAATAGCTTCAACTTGAACTTTGGTTTGGTTTCCTATATAGATGAACTTCTCATTTTGCCTTATGGTTTGAGTCGTAAGGAATCCCTGCATCGTTTTGGAAACATGAATGGTACAACCAGTGTCAACCCACCAAGTATTATAAGGAACCTCAGTTAAATTTGATTCAAAGCATACTGAAGCACTAGGCTTACCCTTTCTTTCGAACCATGCCTTTCTTTTCAAGCAATATTTTTGATACTGTCCGACTTTCTTACAAAAGCGGCATATATCCTTACTTGGTTCCTTCTTGTGGATTATGGCAGATGACTCATTAAGCTTTGATAGTCCTTCCTTGCCCTTCCCATTCTTGTTCCACGATTTCTTTCCAGCTTCTTTATGACCAACAAGATTGGCAGAATGATTTCCTGGTTTCTTAAGCCTTGCTTCCTATTGAATGAGCATGCTTTGTAACTCATGCACATTCCATTTATCCTTTAGAGTATTGTAATGCACATGGAATGTGCCATACTCTGGAGGTAAGGAATTAAGGATGAACGTTACTAGGAAATTTTCATTCACTTCCATTCCCATGGTCTTTAGTCTTGCTGCAATATTCGTCATTTCGATGATATGCTCATGCATGGTACGAGAACCATCAAACTTCATGGTGGTTAGCGTACCCATCAGTGTCCCAACAAGCGACTTATCAGCAGACTCAGATTGAGAGCTTTCTTTCACGGAATTCATAAATTCCTTAGGAACTTTCACTATCATTGAAAGTTTACTTAATGTTGTTTGCTACAGTCATTCGCATAAACATTAGGCTTAGTCTGTTAGATCTTTCCCAAGCTTTATGGAAAGACTTCTCCTCAGTACTGCTAGCATCAGTAAGAGCAGCAGGTTTCTTACTTAAGAGTGCCAAATCAAGATCCATAATACCGAGGTGAAACTGAACCTGTTCAGCCCATTCAGAGAAGTTGAGGCCATTAAACTTAACAACAGACGTGGCTTGCGAATGAAGAGAAACAAGAACAGATGCTGCAAACATATATAACATGTAATCACACATTAATGCTTTGGGTAATAAGCATAAACTATAATACAGATTTGGAAGCATAAACATAAAACATATATTGGTGCTACCTTTGGCCAAAACAACAATATATATGCGATAAATAATCATATAATTGGTGATAGACTTACTCAAATTATATATACTTGCAATCTTTGGATATACTAAATATATCAAACCAAGCACATCAATTTACCATGATAATGTTCGTGAATTATAAAACGAGCAATCAACCTTTGGGCGATTCAAAATATTTTATAATCACGAATTTCAACTTAAAAGCATCACGTTGTCAAAAAAAAAAAAAACTTAAAAGCATCACATAAACATTAGCAGTTGAACTTGATTCAACTTGATATCTATAAACCTTCTAATTTGGTCACTTTGGTGACTAACAAATTAATCATAAAGTAGATATCAAATGTAAAATTTTAACTTAAAGTAAGACAATTGTTAATAATCACTTTGAAATACGCAGACCCAAAACTTGAGTCTCTACGTGCATATTGTTACTAATGGAAAACAATATTAATCATCATCGAGACAAACATAAGGCTTTATCAACCTTCCCAAACTCTTAATTAATCGAACGCATATACAAAAACAATTGTAATCATCCCTAATTGCTTTTATCATGATTTTAGTTGAAAAGGAAATAAAGGCAAGATATTGTCATCTTATATCATTATAATTGAGGAAACAAACATATCAATATATCATGTAAGCATAAACATACATGCACTGCACATATATATGTTCTTGATAAACAGCGAATAATTGCTCGACAAACAGAAGAACCAACCGCAAAGAACTCAAATACAGATGTGTACAAATCTCGAATGCGTGGACTCAATAGAATAAACAGATGATCAATCAGAAGCATCAACAAGCTTTAATCATGCATAATCGATTGGTATAAACGCTGCGGAGACTAATCGAGCATAATACATAATTGAAAATCATCCATTCAAATAAATCCTAAGGCTCTGATACCACATGTAAACATAGATCATAATAGCATGGATCTTAGAATTAGATGATTTCACGAATCGGTAATAGATCAAGGAAACCTATCTCGATCCATGACGAGAGCGGCGGCGACGGCTTGAGAGTAATCACCGGAATTGAGTTTCTCCCTCTTGACCCCTTTAGGTTTTAGGTTTAGAGATTTCTCTAACGGCTAAGAAATTCTACGTAATGGGTTGAGAGAGGACCAATCCTTGGGTTTCTTTATATAGACCCACCATCATGGTATATTAGGAAATTACCTTTCATTAACCTAACAAATATATGACTTACCTTATATATTAAACCATTAAGTGATAATTACACTTGGGTCACAATTATTTAGTGATCTATATACGAGAATTGGGCTTACATCAATCTGCCTGAGGTATTTTGAATTGATTCGTTTTGAGTCAATTTCAATTACCTGGGGTGGGGGCAGGTAATTCGAATTGATTCGTTTTAATTGCCTCGTTTATAAAACGAGACAATTTATCAAATTGACTCATTTCTAGATTGATCCATCCAAACGAAAGAATTCAGAACACGTTGTGCTCTAACTTTGACATCAAAACATCAATTACTGTTAAATTATAAATTTTTAATATATTTTGTAATTTATATCAACTTTTAAATGCAGTATTTTATTAAATTAAAGTTGGACATACAAAACTACATACAGTTAATCCCGTAACATACTGTCACCGTGTCACGTTGTTGCTAGCTATATTAGGTAACCAAAACTTGACGCATATATTATTCAATCACTAATTAGCATTCGATATTTACTACCGTCAGCACATCTCGATCTGATTGCTTGCTACTTCTGGACCCTCTGCATTACATCACTCATAACTCACACACGCCACACTGAACACCAAATCCAATTTGAACCCACAAAATATTTCCTGTTTGTATTATATATATATTAATCGAGTGTTTCTTGAATCTTTCGTCTAAGTCTATGAATTATTGTGCAGCAATATAATAATAATAATCTTTTGCAGTTGCCAGCGAGCTTCCATACCCCTCGATCTCTTTAGCAGAAGAAAACAAATAAAAATAATTGTATAAAATAATATCCCCAACAACCTTATCTTCAATCAATCAAACATATATATAGGGAAAACCTGTAAAAAAAATCAATCAAACATATATGTATATCTTAATTTTAAAGAAAAGCAACATGTTTCTTGTGATGTACCTAAAATTTTGTGCATGAGCCTCTGATGCTTTGTCTAGGAATCATAATGGATTGGATTATTTAGGTAAATTGAGTTAATTATTATGATTTACATGAATATTTGATCGAATTCAAGCATATGTATATTTATAATTTTTTATTTGAGTTAAGTTTGAAATTAGTTCAATTTGAGCCCGACTATTTTATTTGAATCTAGAGTATTAAACACATAAAAAATAATTTTGACCATTTAATTAGCTTCCTTTAACCCAATTCACATATTTAATATTAGTGTTTTCACAAAGATAAAAATTAAAAATCATATTAAAATTGAGTATTTATATTCTTTTGAATATCCAATATATAATGAATCCAATTTAAAATCACATTGCAAAATTATATATATGTATGGGTCAATAATATTATTACTCAACCAGCAGATGGATTCCAAATTCAGCTGACCCGATAAAAAAAACGAGTCACAAACACTTGTGGATCCATCCGCATCAAAATTCCCAAATTGAAAATCACACAATATCATTTTCACAAAGATAATTATCAAACCCATGGACAATATTTGAATAATTTCATTTTCACAAAGATAATTATCAAACCCATGGACAATATTTGAATAATTTTTGTCGCTTATCTGCCCGAACGCCAACAAATGTATATAATATCTCCATACCTATTATTTCGAAGTGATAGATGGAACATGTGATGGAAGGCACCGCACAACTTGTTTGACGCAAAAGTAACAAGTTGATTAAAGTCTCGGTTGCACTACTATTGAACAATAATGTGTGTTTATTATATTTCAGCAGTAACCCCGCGACTTAAGTCTGCAGTCTAGCATCTACCAGCTGATTATCTCTCTCTATATATACTTGGGAGTCAAGCCACCACTTGGTCTCAGAACCATACCAGAGAGAAAAGTAAGCAAAGCTAAATATCAAGCCCATTCATTCATTCATTCATCAAAATGGGCTCAATGGGGAAGCCGAACAAAGTGCTGGTGATCGGAGGAACCGGCTACTTGGGCAAGAGGCTGGTGCAGGCTAGCTTGAACTCCGGCCACGACACCTACGTCATGCACCGGCCGGAGATCGGCGTAGACATCGAGAAAATCCAGCTCCTGCTCTCCTTCAAGATGCAGGGCGCCCACCTCGTCTCCGCCTCCTTCGACGACTACCAGAGCCTCGTCGAAGCCGTCAGGCTCGTCGACGTCGTCATCTGCGCCATCTCCGGCGTCCACATCCGCAGCCACCAGATCCTCCTCCAGCTCAAGCTCGTCCAAGCCATCAAAGAAGCCGGTAACGTCAAGGTAAATATCATCGAAATATTTTCCCCTTGCCGACACACACACTAATTTTCTCATCATCACGTGGTGTCAGACTTTTTTCTACACCGTGACATAAACCAACGATTCTCAATAATTTAAATTGTTGGAATACATTTTTCACTCATAATATTTATGAGATCAAAATTTGCACAAATCTAATCTTATATATGTAACTTAATAATGAGTTCTGATAGCATATTATACACCAATTAATCTCGATAAATAACTCGAGTTGTTAGAATATTATATTTAATCATTCCTCAAACGCTTTTTATGGTCGCAAAAAAGCCTTTGCGCTTTAGTACTTGTGTTGACTGGTAAAACAACGGTGGTCTATCTGCTGTCTACAGAGATTCGTGCCGTCGGAGTTCGGAACAGATCCGGCGAGGATGGAGGACGCGATGGAGCCCGGAAGGATCACGTTCGACGACAAGATGGTGGTGAGGAGAGCGATAGAGGAAGCCGGGATCCCGTTCACTTACGTCACCGCCAACTGCTTCGCCGGTTACTTCCTCGGCGGACTCTGCCAGCCTGGCTTCATTCTTCCTTCTCGTGAACGCGTCACCTTGCTTGGAGATGGAAACCAAAAGGGTATACCCTACGTCCCTACCCACCATTACTACGTACCTTACACGGAAAAAAAAAAAAAGCTTGAGTCACTAAATATTATATTTATTACTTCGAATTTATTTGCCACGTAGGGATCTACGTGGACGAGGACGACATAGCCGCGTACACGTTGAAGGCCATCGACGACCCTCGAACCCTCAACAAGACGATCTACGTCAAGCCACCAAAGAACGTGCTGTCTCAAAGAGAAGTGGTTCAGATCTGGGAGAAGTATATTGGCAAAGAGCTTCAGAAGACCGTTCTCTCCAAGCAAGAGTTTCTGGCTGTTATGAAAGGTCGTCAGACTGTCTGCTTTTTTTATTTTTTTATTTTCCTTTCAAATTTCCTTGCTTTTATTTATTATGATTTTCACTTGGGTAAGTGTATTAGTTATTGAAGGTTTTGTTGTTTTTGTTCTGTGTGTGGTTTGGTTGACAGAACAAAACTACGCGGAACAAGTTGGACTGACGCACTACTATCACGTGTGCTACGAGGGTTGCCTCGCGAGTTTCGAGGTTGACGATGACCAGGAGGCTACCAAGCTGTACCCGGAGGTTCGCTACACCACCGTCGAGGAATATCTAAAACGCTACGTTTAGGTAGTCGGAGAGTTTCCGTGGTATTTCGTTGACGATAGAAGTCACCATATATATGTGTGCGCGATGTCGTTTTATTAATGGAGATTGTGTTTCATTAATTAAGCTTGGGTATCTTCGTTATGTGGTGGTGTTGTTGTAATCCTGGCTAGCTAGCTACCTCTACCTGCAGCAGCAGTCTGTAAAGCGTTTTGGGGTTTGAATAATGTACAACACCGAGCATGCATGTGATGATTCCGTCGGTAGTGTATCAGATGAGCATCTATCCTTCTTTTTTGTTTTGTTTTTTGTTGTTGTCATATGCAGTACAAATATCCTTGCAAAAATAAAGTAAATGAAAAAAAAATTAAATGCAGCACGCGATCGATAGCTAATTGATTCAGTGATGATAGAGTTTTTTATGCGGCTAATATTGTTGTACATGTTTCTCCTTTTCCGAACTTCAGAAACCCTAGCTAGAATTACTTCACTTAATGTAGGCACTGAAAATTCCACACAGCGCGCAATAAAAGAAAATTTTGATGAATTGTTGAATATATACCTTGCGAATCTTAAGTTACGAAGTGTTTTGATACTTGCATACATCGTCGATAATAGTTAATAGTGACTTCCGTAGGTTGTTGTACAAATTGGTAAATGAATACTAGTCGTCACCAGAGATCAATTTATTTTTATAGACAACTGCTTGTATCAAATTCATGAATTTAAAATTTAGGGGTCGTTTGGAAGTTGTGATTGTTAGAGTTGTTTTTGTTGAATACATGTATTGTGCACAATACAATATTTGGAAGTGTCAAAGTGTAAAACAATGCATGCATTATTTTAGGTAGGTCCCACCAACAATCACAAAAATGATGCATTATACAATCTCAACTAAAAATACAATCTCAACTAAAAGTTGTGATTGTTGCTTTTAGATTTGTGGCAACTTTTTTTTCCATTTATATCCCTAATAGTTTTTGTCTTATGCTAAAAGTTGAGGATAAATATGACAATTCTCCATAAAAGTAATTTTATGTAAATCAATGCATAAAGCAGAATCTCAACAACCAAACAATATATTGTTAAAATGCATCCATTGTATCAATACATGCATTTATATTATTGTGATTCATTACAATGCAACGATTTAACATTCGCAACTTCCAAACGACCCCTTATATCGATGGAAATAAATTACCAAATGTGTTTAAAGGTTAAACACTATAAGAATTCGAAGGTAATCTCGAGATTAAATCACTTTTATCATGATATAGCATCAATGATTGTTTCAAGGAATCCCCTAATGATCTTCTGATTAATGTGTATTATGGTCATCTGACTAATAGTGGTAAATTGACATAATGGTAATAAGTTGAAAAAATATATTGAGATAGAATATTCTGACCCCAAGAGATTAGTCAATAATAATTCAGTAGAAAAAAATCAACAGGGTTACCCAAATCCCAACTGCTCTTGGAGTTGGTGTGGAATGATGTATTATTATATAGTGACGGGGTGGTGGGTACGAAGGCTGGGTCGCTATTCGACTTGCGGGCACCCATATCGTTCAGAATCAGATGACAGAAACACGTGCATCGACCCGCCCGTCATTTTGGACACCGGTCGCTGAACGATATTAATAGTATTATCCTGTTAGGATTAGCAGATTTTAGAATAGAGAGAATCCTTGATGATCTTCTCATTGATGATAATGTAACTAATATACACGTCTTTGAGAGACAGAGTCGGAGTGTTAGTAACAGACTACTGAGCACTATCCACATAAGTAGGAACAGAATTAGAGAGTGGAAGTTGAGGGGAAATAGATAAATAATTATATATTGCTAATACGCCCCCGCAAGACGGACGTTGTATCGACAACGCCGATCTTGGACCGTAGAAGAAGAAAGCGAGCAGCAGGGAGTGGCTTAGTCAGAACATCGGCGAGCTGGTGAGCCGTAGGAATGTAACGAATGACAAGACGATGAGCTTGAACGAGCTGCCGGACAAATTGGTAGTCAAGTGCTAAGTGCTTCATTCGAGAGTGGAACCTGGGATTGGCACAAAAATATGTAGCACCAAGGTTGTCTGAGTATAGGGTAGGAGGAGCTGGGAGGGTATGATGAAGCTCGGTGAGGAGATTTTGCAGCCACTCGAGCTCCGCACTAGCATGAGCAATGGCTCTGTACTTGGCCTCCGTACTTGATCGTGCTACAGTTCGTTGTTTTTGCGACCGCCAAGAGAGGAGAGTAGAGCCAAGGTAGACCAGGTAAGCCGAAGTAGAGGACCTGTCATCCAAGTTGCCTGCCCAGTCTGAGTCGGCGAAGGCAGAGAGCTGGAGAGGGCTAGGCGAGCGACGAATCTCTAAGCCATGCGAGAGAGTCCCGACAACATAACGAAGCAATCGCTTCACACAGTTCCAGTGATAGGCAGTGGGAGAGTGCATGTACTGCGACAATTTATTAACGGAGAATGCAATGTCAGGCCGCGTATAAACCAAGTACTGAAGAGCACCTAGAATTTGGCGGAAGCGAGTGGCATCAGTCGTGGGACTGCCGTCCGAGAGAGATAGAGTGACTGTGGACGCAAGAGGCGTTGGGGCCGGGGCAGCATCAAGCATGTTGAACTGTTGGAGAAGCTCTTTCATATACTTGTGTTGTGATAGGAGATAACCAGTAGGAGTCGGAATCACCTCGATACCGAGGAAGTAGCTCACATCTCCGAGAGTCTTCAAAGAGAACCGGGCGGACAGCGAGGCCCGGAAGGTGGCGAGGAGCTGAGCATCATTGCCTGTGAGGAGTAAATCATCGACATATACAAGAAAATAGAGCAGCTGGCCATTCCGTTTATAAACAAAAAGGGAGGAGTCAGAGAGTGCTTTAGAGAAACCAAACTCCAAAAGGAAGGCACTGAGTGCCTCATACCAGGCCCGGGGAGCCTGTCGAAGGCCGTAAATGGCGCGTTTAAGACGACAGACATGATGAGGGTGAGCCGGATCCGTGAACCCAGGTGGCTGTACCATATATACCCCGTCGTGAAGAGGACCTTGGAGGAACGCGTTGTTGACGTCGAAATGGGATATCGGCCAATTTTGAGACAAGGCAATGGTGAAGACGGTGCGAACGGTGACGAGTTTAATCACCGGACTAAATGTGTCGCCGTAGTCAACCCCAGGACGCTGATTGTATCCTTTTGCCACCAAGCGAGTTTTAAACCGAGCAATAAAACCCGCGGGGTTGCGCTTGACACGGAATACCCAGTGATTGCCTTAAACGTTGTAGTGAGGCAGGCGGGGAACCAGATCCCAAGTCTCGTTGGTGAGGAGAGCTTCATGAACGGACGATGGCTCGAGCGGCGGCGCTGATGAAGAGGAAGCCCTGCTAGCGGCGGTATGAAACAATTTCTTGGGTTTAAAAATCCCATGTTGGGCTCGTGGTGTCATGGAGTGACTGCGGGTTGGAGGAGGAGGCAGAGCTGGGGATGAGGGCGGCCCAGATGGAGGCGTGGTGGGCTCATTGGAGGGCCCAGTCTCATGGGAGGAGCCCGAACCTTGTGGGGAGGAAGCCGCAGGCGAGGGAGTCGTTGTTGAGGAGGAAACAGGCCCAGGAGAAGGGGCATGGATGTGTATGGGCTGGGCCGCTGGAAGCAGAGTGATTGATGGACTGGAGTCCAGGAGCCAGGTGGCAGGCCGTGGAGGTGCAACAGTCGTAGTGGATGTATACCCTGGAAAAACATCTTCCACAAATTGAACATGACGGGACAAATAAACACGACTAGTCGTGGGGTCAAAACATCGATAGGCACTCCGCTGAGGGCAGTAGCCAAGGAAAAGACAGGAGCGAGAACGAGGGTCGAGTTTATTGGTTGAATAAGGACGGAGCCAAGGATAGCAGAGACAACCAAAAATACGGAGTTTATGGTAATTAGGAGTTTGATTGAACAGAAGCGTATATGGTATTTGGCCACGAAGAGCAGAAGAGGGCATACGATTAATGAGATAAATGGCAGTGGAGAAGGCAAAGGACCAAAAAATGGAGGGGAGTTTGGCATGGTGAAGGAGAGTGATACCGGTTTCGACTAGGTGGCGATGTTTGCGCTCGGCTAAACCGTTGTGCTCCGGGGTATGGGGAGGAGTGAGAAGATGACTGATGCCATGAGCGGTGAGAGTGGAGCATAATTTTTGAAATTCACCACCCCCATCCGTATAAAGACGGCGTATGGTAGAGAAGTAGTTCTCAACCATGGAGCGAAAATCAAGAAAGACCGTTAGAACATCATATTTCCGACGAAGAGGGTAAAACCATGTGTAACGCGTAAAGTGATCAACAATAACCAAATAATATTGAAAACCATCGATTGAGGTGACCGGAGCCGGCCCCCATACATCAGTATATAATAAATCAAAAGGACGGTCACTGGATAGAGAGGAAACACCAAAGGAAAGTTTATGAGATTTATTGGATAGACAAGCATCACAATGACTAAGAGAAGTGGAGTCTGAAACGGGATGAGAATGAGAACGAAGAAGACTACGCAGAGAATGAGCAGAAGGATTACCAAGACGTGAATGCCATGAATTTGTGGAAGTGCGGGTTGTAACTAGCGCCATGCGAACTGGTCCTGTGGCTGGCGGCAGCTCATACACATCACCTCGATTTTCCCCTCTCAACAGCGGCGCCCCCGTGCGAAGATCCTTCACAACAAAATACGTGGCAAAGAATTCCACAGAGACTGGATTAGTACGACACAATTGGGCCACAGAAATAAGATGTTTGGTGATAGCAGGAACATGTAAAACATCATGAAGAGAAAGAGAGTGGGAGCCAGTGGATAGGTGAGAAGAACCAATATGACTAATCCGCAAACCTGTGCCATCGCCGACAAGTATTTCATCAGGCCCGGTATAGTCGGAATATAGAGATAAATTTCCCAGATCGGCAGTAACGTGATGGGAGGCAGCCGAATCCATCAACCAAGGAGTGGGTGCTGAAGAGGGACTGCCATCAGAAGGGATTAGAGGAGAGGCAGCCGCAGTGAAATGGGCTTGGGCCGGCGGAGGACGCTGGAGAGTCGGACGGGCCGGTGGGAAAAGCTGAAAACACTGGCGCACTGTATGCCCAGGTTTTTCACAGTACTGACATATTAGTCGGGCCCGACGAGGAGAGTGGCTAGAGAATTCGCCAGGAGATGATGGGCCGGAGAAGAAAGGGCGGACTGGGCTTGGAGTCCGCTGAAGTAGACCTGGTGCGCCATGAGGAGAGTAGACCTGGTGCTGCGACGGATGGCCGCCACGATGAGACCGCGGATGGGAGGAGCCGCCGTGTCCTGCCCTTGAGTGTAGAAGACCGTCGGAACAGAGGATTGCTGCTGCGCCTTGAGGTCGGCCTCATATTCGACGAGGGAATCAACAAGGTCTTCAAGAGTCAGGCCAGGGCCTCGTGCACGAACTGCAGCAGAGAAAGATTTATATTCCTCTCCCAGACCGCGGATGCAATGAACAACCAGATCGATGTCTTTGACTGGCTCATCAATGATAGCAAGTTCAGCCGCCGTAGTTTTCAACTCATTCACAAAGGTGAGAATATCCCTATTTCCCTTGATTGTTTTAGCAAGCTTCCCCTTCAAATGAATGATACGCGACTGGGCGTTGCTAGCATAGAGCTTTTCCAGAATTAGCCACGCATCACGAGCAGTCGCGGCGGCAGAAACAAACGAATAAATGGATTCGTCAATGGAACAACGCAAGGCATGGAGGATTAATTTATCTTGCCTGAACCAGTTCCGATAGGCAGGATTGGAGATAACAGCAGCATCCACCGTAATCAATTGAGGTGGAGCGATGGAGGTACCATCAATGTAGCCAGATAAATCGAGACCCATAAGAAGGGTTTCGAGTTGAGATCGCCAGGACGCAAAGTTCGTCGGCGTGAGCTTGAGAGGAAGTTGGGCGGCCGGATTGAAAGTGACGATTTGGATCTCTGAACTTGAAAATCCGTTGTTGGCGCCGTCAGTGATTGAACTGCTGGTCATGGTGAAAAAACAGGGGAGAACATAAGGCCGATATGAGAAGAGAGAAGAGAGAAAAAAAGAAGATGAGGGATGGATCGATTCTAGCTGATCGTAGCTAGCTCTGATACCATGTTAGGATTAGCAGATTTTAGAATAGAGAGAATCCTTGATGATCTTCTCATTGATGATAATGTAACTAATATACACGTCTTTGAGAGACAGAGTCGGAGTGCTAGTAACAGACTACTGAGCACTATCCACATAAGTAGGAACAGAATTAGAGAGTGGAAGTTGAGGGGAAATAGATAAATAATTATGTATTGCTAATATATCATTTATTTATCAGCAAATGTCGTTTGGCTGCTACCTGCTGGTACACTACTACAATTATTTTTCTGCCCACAATCACAAATGTCGTTTTGTGCAGAGGGCGGTAGGAGGCAGCCCACCATCTTTCGAATAGCATGGGTCGTTTTATAATTTAATTAACATACACTGGTAAAGTTATAATTTTCGGATTTTTATAATAACTTTTGAGAAATATCTAAAAAGACAACTTTTTTTTATAATGGCGAAATAATATTAATTTAAAAAAAGAATTACAACAAACCAAAACAAACCTAGCAACAAGCTGGAGAAGGAATCAGTCCAAACAAACCTAGCAACAAGCTGTTCTCGTTTATCACATTATCACATTAGATATAGACATAGGCCCTGGAAGCAAACGATTCCTGACTATCTGCATCCAACTTTCTCCTTAAGTCCTCCCAACTTTATTCGTAGCGCGCAACCAATTGAAGATCATACGACACACCTTGAAACAAACCACTTTAGTAACTTTTCGTTCAACATTTTTATGGCGTTATCTTACAAGGTAGCTGGATTATTGTTTTTTTTTTTGGCTAACATGGTAGTTCTTTTGCCATTAACTTGCTTAACTGGATTTTGAATAGCATGGGTCTGAAGAATGCTGCTTTCAGTGGCGAAAGTAGGATTTGAAACTACCTATATCATTTCATAATATAAATAATAAATATAATTAGAACTAATAATGTCAAAATGATTCTTTCTTAGATAAAGAATAATCGATTAATATAATTATTATTTTCATAGACAACCACAACAAGTTTTCATATTTCAAAAGAAACACAAAATAATTTGTTGTCTACAATGTTAAGTAAGTCTTTTTCAATGTATCCCACTAAATAGTCAGCAAATTGATCCGCAATTCGACTTTGAACCTTGTTCTTATTATAAGTCAAGCTAAAAATGTTTGTTCTGCACTTATAGTTGCAATTGGTAGAGTCAAAACTAGATTCAGAAATCAGAACCAAATTACTAACAGATATTACTGATGCACTTTTGTCTCCACCATTACTCAAGATAATTCATCATGAACAAGTTGGTGTCAAATAATAGTATCATGAATAGAACCAACAAATTAGTTAATTTTTATCATTTAACGAATAAGTAATGAGTTGTGATGTAGTGACAAAACATCCTTATTTTTATCTATAGGTGTGATTTTTTTCCTCCCTAGAAGTTACCCCTATCCTGAGACAAGGGCAAAATGGGTTGGCTCCGCCCATGGCTGCTTCAGCTGCCGACAAGGAAGAATCGAGCGCTACCCTCAAGCTGTGAGCTGTGTGTTCACGTGGAGAAGAGGGCTAGCAGAGAGGTAGTAGCCATGTAGAGGGATCAACTGGGGATAGGCGTGCGGTCCTTCCTGTTCTAGCCAGCGGCGAGGAGAAGCCAGTAGCAGCCACCGGGAGATTGATTGGTGGCGGAGACTTCAGGGGAGTCCGCGCTTGAGGGAGACTGATGGTTTCTTGTTGGATGGCATGATTGCTTTAGGGCTTTGTTTTAATTTTAATTGATTTGGACAAAAACTAATTAAAACTAAATTAGCATAAAATGAGGGGCAATTAAGTAATTTCCTAACAAACTTAACAACCTTTTAACGGATAATTAGACAGAAGATTATTTTTTTTTACGTTTTAACAGTAGAAGAGTACGCTTGTGCAAAAATATAACAGAGTGGTAAAATGTTATTAACCCTTATTGTTTTGGACAAAGTCATCTCTTTTCCGATGTCTACCTGGCGACTATTTTATTTTTCTTATGATTTGAAAACTTCGTTGGCATTGTAACATCCTGAACCTTTTCTCGAATAAGATATTGTTCGCTTTGGTACAAAACCCTCACGGATTTCGACTTGGAATGCATATCAAGGTGACTTCCCATAAGGTCACACATCTTTGCAGTGCTCCACGCTGAGCACGTTTAACTTAGGAGTTCTTGTGAGAACTCCTCCATTTCAACTCAAAACGCGTCTTGTCGGTTAAAGTCGGTTTCTTACTTATGAACCATAGATCTTCCCCATGCTTTGTCGAAGGGTGATTCGCCTAAAGTGTTACAGGCAAGAATGCGTTAGGGTGGTTACTAGTTTTTTAGTAACCATCGTGGCAACCTACATCTAAACCATTCATTAGCTCTATTTTCCTATTTTGTTTAAAAAGACGGTCAAGATTGGATTAAGGGTAGTTTAGATATCAAAATATTATCACACCAGGCTATTACCTTTATTTATAATTTACCTCTCTCAACCCTACCTCCATTCTCTTTATCCTCTCACGTCGCTCCAGTCAGCCGCCTCCCCTCACCCCTCCTCCCCTCCCTGGCCGTCACTCACCCTCCCCTATCACTGCCTCCCAACTCCCCTTGCCCAAAACCTCCTCCCCTCCCAGACCAGACCATATATACGGTCTATGGTCCAGACCGAGAGGCTAAAGTATAGACCACAGACCAGACCACAAACTATACGGTCCGGTCCAGATCACGCCTGTGCGGTCTGTTTCGGTCTGGTCTGGTCCAGATAGACCACAGTCAACGAAAAATGAATAATTTGTTTAGTCAACCACACAAAAAATTGAACCAATGAACAAGAAAAATAATTGTTATTTGCCTTAACACATTAATCCTAACATGCATGAATAATTTTGATACCCTAAATCTTAGTACATAACAAAAATACAAAATAAAAGCATCCCAACTTGCACTATAACGTCATAAACATTAACATAATGTCATATGGAGACACAATTATCTCTACTCCCTGGTTAAATGTGGTTGTGAATGAAGGAGGGACGAGATTCACAAAACTAGGGTTGAGACTTGGGTGTCGTTGTGGGAGTTGGGAGAGTGGTCGAATGGGCTTTTAACACGTATTGACAAGTCAGTTGGGTCCACGGTTTGGTCCGGTAAACCGCGGTCTAGACCAGACCAGACCAAGAAATCAAAACATAAAATAATACAAACCATAGACCATATCAGACCATACTCAAAGGTCTATGGTCCGGACCAAACTGTGCGATACGGTTTGGACCACGGTTTTTCTAACGGTCTGGTCTATTTTCCCAGCCCTACCACCCACCTTTTCCCTGGCGATAGCCGCCCACCATAACTCCTCTCTCTCTCTCTCTCTCTCTCTCTCTCTCTCTCTCCAGGAACATTGGAATTGCTAAAGGTCGCCCTAAAAAAGTTTAAAGTTACACTTATAACCCCCTATCTTCTTTACCTTCCTTTTATCAAACAAACACCACTTGGACTAAAAAAACACTATCTAAGGAGAGAAAAATCCATCATCGTCATTTTGAAGCCGATATCGTCGGTAGGACGACTGAATCATGAGTAGCGACTCCGACGAGCTAAATACCGAAATTGAAAAACGAAAAAAAACCTGCGGTCCAGCCATGGTCCAACCGCAGGTCAATTGCGGTCCAGCCATGGTTCAACCGCAGCCGATTTGCGGTCCGGCCATGGTCCAACCGCAGGTCACTTGCGGTTGGCATTTTCTGGGTTTTTTTTTTCGTTGAATAATTTTCTATTTTTTATATGATTTATGATTTGTTCCATGAGATAATTTGTTGGGTTTTGATTTATATAATTTTCTAAATTTATTTGCATAATTATTTTTGGAATTGAAGGATTTAGCATTAGAAATTAAGATTAGATTTGGCCTTAAATTAAGATTAGATTTAATTTGGTCTTAATCTAGAAAATTAAGATTAGATTTTGCATTACAAATTAAGATTAAATTTATTGCATAAATAATAGATTCGCATTAGAAATTAAGATTAGATTTGGCCTTAAATGAAGATTAGATTTAATTTGGTCTTAATCTAGAAAATTAAGACCAAATTAAATGATTAGATTTTGCATTACAAATTAAGATTAAATTTATTGCATAAATAATAGATTCGCATATGAAGATTAGATTTAATTTGGTCTTAATCTAGAAAATTAAGATTAGATTTTGCATTACAAATTAAGATTAAATTTATTGCATAAATAATAGATTCGCATATGAAGTTATGATGATTATTAAATTTAATATAGTTATGAAATTTTAAATTTATCATATGGTACTCGTTAAATTGACGATATAGAATGTTAAGTTTTTTTTTTAATTTGTGGGGTATCACTTATAAATTCTGATAACATTGCAGGATATTGGAAGTTACAATCCGGATGGCCATGATTACACCTCGGATTTCATTGATGGCGTGAAATACACTACGGAGTTGCAAGCATATGAAGCAGCTACTGAGATTGCCAAGGGTTTTGGGTTTTATTTGGTGAGGGCATCGAACAAAAAAAATAAGAATGAAGGTACTTGGCGACATTACTTGCATTGCACTCATGGTAGGAAGAAGAAGTCGAAGGAACCTGATCCGAGTAAGGAAAGGAGGCCTCTTACAGCTACTGAAAAGTTGGGGTGCGAGTTTCAGATCAAGCTTGAGCGGTCAGGTGATGGATATTGGTTGATCCTAGGGGTGGCAAATACAAAGAATCCTGGTGCTAATTTGGGTTTCCACAATCATCAGTTGGAGCTATTTCCGGAAGGATCAAAGGGAAGGAATGTTCTGACTATAGAGGATAAGCAATACATCAGAGAGCTGAGATCAGCCGGTGTCCCACCAAGGAATATCCACAAGGCAGTGAATGAGAGAAAAGGTGCAAATGGAACACACAACAGAAAGCAGATTTATAACGAGTTGCAAAAGATAAGGAAAGAAGAGCTTGGTCAGATGACAACCTTACAGTATACTTTCCGCGTGGCGCAGGAGAAGGGTTACTATGTGCAATATATGGACGATCGTAACATGCTTACACACTTGTTCCTAGCCCACCCTGAGTCAGTAGTGATGTTGCGAGCTTGGCACCATGTGATCGTGATAGATGCAACATACAAGACCAATAAGTATGATATGCCTTGGGTTGAGATTGTCGGCATGACACCAGTGGGATTGAACTTTGTCATTGCATCTGCAATAGTGTACGACGAGACGAAGGAGTCGTACCAGTGGCTTCTGACGCATTTGCAACATCTTCTTGGCCCCATTGTTCCAGATGTGTTTGTCAGTGACAAGGCAGGAGGATTGGTTGAGACCGTGGGGGTAATGTTTCCATCATCGACTCATATATTATGTC